TCTCTGCCTGGGCCTGTGTGTGTGTGTGTGTCTCTCTCTCTCTCTCTCTGCCTGGGCCTGTGTGTGTGTGTCTCTGTCTCTGTCTCTCCCTCCCTCCCTCTCCCTCTCCCTCCCTCTCCCCCCTCCCTCTGCCTGGGCCTGTGTGTCGGTGTCTGTCGGGGCCTGCTCAGGCCGCAGCTATAGGAGCCTCTATACAAACTGGATGTAAATGTCCCCCTTCCTCCTCCTCCCCCCAGGAACGAAGCACGGTGAAGCCGAGTGGATCGATCACTCACTCACCCAGGCAGGCAGGCAGGCAGCCGCGCCGCCTCAGCACCGGCGCCCTCCGAGCCGCGCCCCCGTCATAACGAGCACTCAGCTGTGGCCGCTCATAGGGAACCCGGAAACAGTCAGCCCTGACCCCTGACCCCTCACCTTCACGTGCCGACCCAACACAAAAAAAACACAAACTAACTTCAAAAAACACATCAGCGCGGTAGTTCGTAAAATAATTCGCTACGAGATTTTTCGGCGCTCGGATGCTTTTATTTCTGGTTGTCTTCCACGAGGGAATGCGCACGCGCACGACTTCCAAAGAACTCGCGTGCAGACGGTTGGCGGTTACTGGGGGCTGTTGCTAGGGACAGTTGCTAGGGGCTGTTGCCAGGCAACCCCCCGAGCAATCAATCAACCCCCCCCCGCCTCCCGGAGCATCGACTAACCAACGGCCCCAGTCCCATTTGGGTGGGCGAGGAAAGAATTGCATTTCTATATCGCCCTTCATGTCCCAAACGCCATAAGTTGACTCTGTCTCTAGTTTGAGGCTTTTAAGACGACGTTGGATGATTATTTTGATCGGAATAGCGTGCAAGGGTAATGGGGGAGAAAGCCGGAGATTAACGTCAGCTAATGACGGTTGTGAAGGGCTAGTGCAGGCAGGATGGGCCAAAGGGCCCCCTTCTACACTGTAACACCTCTGTGATTCTTTTGAATAACATATTGGGGAGGGGGAACTGCCTTTTTTTTTAAACACATTCATGGGAAGAGGATGCTGCTGGCCAGGCCAGCATTTATTGTCCATCCCTAATTGCCCAGAGGGCAGTAAACAGCCGCATTGCTGTGGGTCTGGAGTCACATGTAGACCAGCCCAGGTAAGGATGGTAGCTTCCTTCCCTAAAGGACATCAGTGAAGCAGATCGATTTTTCCAACAGTCGACAATGAATGATAATTCCAGATTTTTGTTGGTTTCAAATTCCACCATTTGCTGTGGCAGCATTCAAACTTGGGTCCCCAGAACATTACCTGGATCTCTGGATAAACAGTCCAGCAAAAACACCACGAGGCCATTGCCTCCCTTCTTCATTGCAGTGGCTGTGGGATCTTTCATATCCACCTGAGAGGGTAGACAGTGGTATATGCTGTGATGTGTCCGCCAGTATGTCTGACTATATATTCACTGCCACCAATACTCCTTCCTCTAAGACACACACGGTCCAAGGCGGGAAGGTAGTTCACAATTAGTCTTTGGCAAAAGAGATTGACATGAAATCTTGACAAAAAGAGCTTGGTTATTACACCGTTATTAACAGGTGCTTACATTACATCTGAGATAAGAGATTCTTTTGTGGCACATCAAGTCAGACATGAGAGTAAGTACACATTATTGTTTTGTGACGTAGAACTTAGTACTGAACTTGCATCCCATAACTTGCAGTTTAAACTTGTCAGCACCTCAAAGGAGCAGTCCTTTAAATCCTGATGGATGGTGCTTACTTAGTAATGACAGGTACTAGCTACTTCATACAACAGATGGGACCTCAGTTTAAGAGATAGTAAGAGCTGCCGATGCTGGAGTCTGAGATAACACAGTGTGGAGCTGGATGAACACAGCAGGCCAGGCAGCATCAGAAGAGCAGGAAAGGTGACGTTTTGGGTTGGGTCCCTTATTCAGAAATGGGGGCGGGGGAAAGGAGGTCAGAAATAAATGGAGAGAGGAGGGGTGGGGCTGGGGACGGTAGGTGGGATGGCAATAAGTGAGTGCAGGTAGGCAGTGTTGGGGATTGGTCTCATCCTTGCCTCCTTGATCTGTCCGTTTTCTCTCCCACCTATCCGCTCCTCCCATCTCACTGACCAATCCCCACCGCTGCCTACCTGCACTCACTTATCACCATCCACCTACCTTCCCCAGCCCCTTCCCCTCCCCCATTTCTGAAGAAGGTCCCGACCCGAAACATCAGCTTTCCTGCTCCTCTGATGCTGGCTGGCCTGCTGTGTTCCCCCAGCTCCACACCTTGTTATCTCAGACTCCAGCATCGGCAGTTCTTACTATCTCTGGTTCAGATTATTGTTCAGTTTTGTATGTCAGAAATGCACCGTACCCAGACAGAGTACTGCTAGGTTCCATGTTTTTATTTTCCTCCTTTCCAATTTGGTCATTCTTTTGTAATGTTAATGGGAGCCATTTATAGAGAACAACAGCCCCATCTAGATACCTCTACCCCTCAAGTTTCCGTGAGTCAACCAAAAAGAGGAGAAATTTTTTCGAGGTGATCAAATCGTGAAGTATCTGGACAGAGGAAAAAGGGAGAAACTGTATCTGTTGTCAGAAAGGTCAAGTACCAGAGAATTCATACTTAAAGTGATTGGCATGGAGGTTATGTTGGAACCGTATAGGACTTAAATTAGGCCACAGCTACAGTACTGTGTGCAGTTCTGGTCATCACAATATAAGAAAAATATGATTGCATTGGAAGCGATGCAGAGGAGATTCACCAGGATGTTTTCTAGGATGGAGCATTTTAGCTATGAAGAGAGGCTGGATAATCTCAGGTTTTTTTCTTTAGAGCAGAGAAGTCTGAGGGTGACCTGTTTGAGGTGGAGAAGATTATGAGTGGCACGATCAGGTTGGATAGAAAGCAGCTGCTCCCCTTCATTGAAAGGTCAATAAGAAGGATGCCTAATTTAACGCGAAAGGCAGGAGGCTTAGAAGGGATTTGAGGAAAGATTTTTTTCACTGAGGGTAGTGGGAATCTGGAATGCACTGTCAGGGAGGGTAGTTGAGGCTGGAACCTCACAGCCTTTAAAAAGTACATGGATGAAATCTTGAAATGTCCGAACATTCAAGAAAGACTCAGTTGGCTGGATGGCTCGTTTACGATGCAGTGTGACACCAATACCATGGGTTCAATTCCTACACCAGCTGAGGTTACCATGAAGGACTGTCCCTTATCAACTGAGGGGGAGTGACGGCCTAGTGGTATTTTCATTGGAATGTTAATCCAGAAATCCAGAGTTGAGATGGCTCCTCTGCTCACCAGCTGCTTTTCCTTTTCCTTTTCTTTTTTGCCTCTTGCTCCAGGTTTTCTTCCCCCACCCTGAAATTTTAACTTCGTAAAGCTCCCTACCTGGAGGGAATGGAGAACGGAGTCTAAGACCAGCCTGGTGCGAGAGACGAGTCGCGGCCAGTGCAGCAGCAAAGTGTGCATGGGCCGAGTCCCAGAAGCGAGTCACAGCCGGATCCTGGAGTGGCAGTAGAGTGAGCGTGGACTGAGTCCTGGAAGTGAGTCCCGGCTGGAGCGGCAGCACGGCGTGTGCGGACTGAGCTGGGAGCTGAGTCACAGCCGGAGCGGGAGCCAAGTCACAGGCCAGCTAGGGGAACGAGTCCTAGACAGAGGCCAGCGTGTCGAGGCAGCGAGGTCTCTAGTTCTGAAGCCCGGCAGGCACAGACTCAGTCCTCAGAAAGGACTATAACTTGAATACTTTAAAGATACTTTTATTCTCATTCTGGACTTGTTAAACTCCATATTCCCATGCTAGTCCTTTCTTTTACTATTTCAATCCTGTAACAACACTTAAAGTACCTGTACCTAAGATGGTGCCAAGAGGCAACAATACAAACTTTTCACTGCACTCATTTGAGTGCACGTGACAATAAAGGCTACTCTAAATTCTAAATGTTCTGGGGACCTGGGTTCAAATCCTGTCTTGGCAGATAGTGGAATTTAAGTTCAATAAAAGTCTGGAATTAAAAGTCTAACGATGACCACGAATCCATTGTCAATTGTCAGGAAAATCTGAACCTGGTTCACTAATGTCCATCCTCACTTGGTGTGGCAACATGTAACTTTAGACCCACAGCAACGTGGTTGACTCTTAATTGCTCTCTCAGTAATTAGAGATGAGCAATAAGTGCTGGCTGAGCAGTGATGCTCCCAGAATCATACAGATGGAAACAGGCCATTCGGCCCAAGTCGTCAATGGTCACCAGGTTTCCTAAATTGAACTAGTCTCATCTTCCTACATTTGGACCATATCTCTCTAAACCTTTACTATCCATATATCTGTCCCAATGTTTTTTAGATTTTTTAATTGAGCCTGCCTCTACCACTTCCCCTGGCAGCTTGTTCCATACATGCCCCACCTTCTTTGTGAGAAAGTTGCCCCTAAGGTCCTTTTTAAATCTTTCTCCTCTCACCTTAAACCTATTCCCTCTGGTTTTGGACAATCCTGCCCTGGGGAAAAGACCTTCGCTATTCACATAATCAATGCTCCTCATGATTTTATAGACCTGTTATAAGGTCACCCCTCAGCCTCCTATTCCCCAGGAAAAAAAGTCTCAGTCTATCAGCCTGTCCTTATCACCCAAACCTTCTAGTCTTGGTAACATTTTTGTAAATCTTTTTTACGCCCTTTCTAGTTTAATAACTTCCTTCCCATAGCAGGTTGACCAGAATTATACACAGTACAGGTAGTTCTCTGATAACGCGATAGTTGTGTTCTTGTGTGATCTTGTGCTATAGAAAATTGCACAGTAGAAAATCACCATGGAAAATTGCGTTATAAGGAAATCGCCATAGAAAATCAGTATACCTGTACAGCAGGAAGTTTGTGTTATTCAAATAGTGTCCACTATTCATCAATCACGTTACAGCCAATTTGTGTTAATGAAACACGCGTTATAGCAGAACTACCTGTATTCCAAATGTGGCCATACATTGTACAGCTGTAACATGTTATCCCAACTCCTGTACTCAAAGTTCTGACTGATGAAGGCAGCCATGCCAAATGCCTTCTTCATCACCCTTTGTACCTGTGACGCCACTTTCAAGAAGCTATGCACCTAGAACCTGGGTCTCTCTGCTCAACAACACTCCCCAGGGCCATAACATTAACTGTGTAAGTCCTGCCCTGGTTTGTCTTACCAAAATGCAACACCTTGCTTTTATCTGAATTAAACTCCATCTACCAAATCTCGACCCACTGGCCCATTGATCAAGATCCCACCGCACTCTCAGATGACCTTCTTGGCGAAGGCAAATTCAGTAAAACAGATTGTCTCACATGCAATTCTTACAGCAGGAAAAGAACCCCAGCATTTAGTTGTAGCACAGGGAGGAATAACAGCTTCCACATCCAGCTTCAAGAC